AATGGGAGTAATTTAATGCATCTTGCTTTGTTACTTGATGGAGCATAATTTATGAGATTTATAGAAATTTGATGTTGGTTTGTTGTTATATTTGCTGTCTAGCTCTATACAGATGTGGATGAATTGGTCTTCTTTGGGAATGTTTTATGTTGCAGGATCGGACTTGGAGCTAAAGTAATGTGTGTTGGTTTATTTTTGTTGAAAATATGATAAAAATCTGTTACAAATCTGATTTCAAATAATCTGTGTTAAAAAATGTGTAAAAAATCTATATCCAAAAATTTGTCTTCAAAATTTATGTTGAAAAACCTGTATCCAAAAACTTGTCTTCAAAATCTGTGTTAAAAAATCTGTGTTCAAAATATTTGTTCAAAAATCTGTGTTCAAAATCTGTGTCCAAAAATCTATCTTCAAAATCTGTGTTGAAAAACCTGTGTCCGAAAATCTGTATTGAAAAACCTATGTTAAAAAATCTGTGTTCAAAATATCTGCTCAGAAATCTATGTTAAAAAATCTATGTCCAAAAATCTGTCTTCAAAATCTGTGTTGAAAAACCTGTGTTCAAAATATCTGTTGAAAAATCTGTGTTGAAAAATTTGTCTTCAAAATTTGTATTCAAAAATCTGTGTTGAAAAATCTGTCTTCAAAATCTATGTTCAAAAATCTGTCTTGAAAATTAGTGTTCAAAAGAAAGTGTTAACAATCTGTGTTAATAACCTATGTTCAATTATTCTTCAAATAGACAAATAGATAACAACCCGTGTTCAATCATTCTTCAAATAAACAAACAGATAACAACCTGTGTTCAATCATTCTTTAAACAGACAAACAAATAACAGATTATATCTTCATACTTCTCAAAAAAAACTGTCATATATTATAAATCTTCATACATATTATCTATTTCAATTTCTAACTTTCATATAAATTATTACATCTTTATAACTAATACAACACCAACTTTGATTTATGTTTGTCTGTAATTTTTGCATCCGGGCGCTCTAAACTTGAAGTTGTTCGCTTTGAAATCGAAGTTGTTCGGTGACAGTTAGTATATTGCCTGTTTGTACTTGTCCTTCATGTTTACATTGTGAATTTGTAGTGGAGCACAATCCAATAAAACCACCGTAATCATAACAACAATAAAATAACTTTTTTTTTGTTTCGCTGTCTCAAAAATTCGAATAGTTGTTTTTTTTTCGACATTTAGGACAATTTTTGTTGCAATATGTCAATTGATCTGAGGTACTGTCGCTGATACTTGAAGTTGATATTTACAAAAATATGAAGCCAAATCTCAAACAATTAGTGTACAAGTCTGAGGTATAATTCTAAAACCATGTGATGTGATCTGTTTTTTAATTAGGTATACATCTTGACTTCTTGAAACAAAACAGTGTATTTGAAGTGAATTGAATTCTTGAACCAACAGTTGAAACAACAGTTGAATTCTTGAGATAAACAACAATTCTAACACTAATCCAGTGCATATACACCCTTAATCTAGTCCCATAAATATATACATGCACATAAGATATTTATATTTTCTTGAGTCAAAATACCACCATCCATTCCCATATTTTCTATGATTGGCCTGGCACTAATTCCTCTGTTTCAATGTGCCTGGATCAAAGAAAAAGGTTTATTATAACAAAAAAACAATCATTTTTGTCTCCATAACTCTAATATCTCTCGTGAAGTAACTTAAAGGTAACTGGGTTGTCCAATAAATCACAGTTATACATAATCATATGTTATTATATGGTTTATGTTATTTTCTTGATTGATTTGCAGACAAGGGACCCAATGTTTGATTAACAAAGCATGTCAAAGTGGAAGACTGAGAGCCCAAGTAAATACTGAGTTTATGAATGGCCATCGGCTTCAAGATATTGTATTCTAGCATAAGGTTGTAGGTTGACAATAATCTACTCCAAACATGTCTTTAATCCTAAATTCTACCTTTCTGTTGTGGCTTTAACAATCATGGATTGAAACTTGAAAAGTTTGATCAACAGATAGAAATTTCATGTCCTCCTATAGATGCCACCACAAGACTTGAACCCGATAATTACTTGACACAGAAAGACATGTACTTAGAGATTAATCAAGACAAAACTTCAAACATACTCGTGATCCAACAAAAGAACTAGTCTCATTGTCAACCATTGTACATAGGACCTAATTAAATCAAAGCAAACAATTCCAAATCAATATCCCCAAATTTCATGCATTTACCAAATGTGATGTTTGAATTCAACTTTTGTTGCTAAGCGATGCAACTTCATCTTCCCTTATTTTTCTCAAAAGTTTGATCAACAGATAGAAATTTCATGTCCACCTATAGAAGCCACCACAAGACTTGAACCCGATAATTACTTAACACAGAAAGACATGTACTTAGAGATTAATTAGGACAAAACTTCAAACATACTTGTGATCCAACAAAAGAACCAGTCTCATTGTCAACCAATGTACATAGGACCTAATTAAATCAAACCAAACAATTCCAAATCAATAGCCCCAAATTTCATGCATTTACCAAATGTGATGTTTGAATTCAACTTTTATTACTAAGCGATGTAGCTTCATCTTCCCTTATTCTTTTCCTATTTGTAAAATTTTAAAACATTTACAAAAAAATTATATACATTTATCCTCAATTACCTAACAATTCATAGGGCAAATCAATTCATAGGGCAAACCCTAGTATCATCAGTCACAACGCCCACCACTAAAGCTAATCCAATGTAAAATTCGGGCAAATCAAAATCAAAATCAAAATCCTCCTAAACAGATCAACTCAAAATCAAAGTCACAAAAATCTCAACAAATCAGCGCATATATATATATATATATATATATAGAGAGAGAGAGAGAGAACTGACTTGTCAAGAAAAGATAGAGGGTCGAGATAAACGAGTTCTGCAGGAAGACGGAGAGAGACTCGGTTATCGTGAATGACTCGATCGTCGTCGTCGTAAGAAGCGACAAAAAACAGTCCGCCGATCGTCGTGACTAAGGAACAAGGGAGGCTCGGTTAGAGAGAGACTCGATCATTACTGAGGTTGGAGAGCTGCGCTTGTTGGGGAGCTCGTCGAGAGAGAGAAGGAATGAGCGAATAGCAAGAGAGAGAGAGAGAGAGAGAGAGAGTTTGAAAATGAATGTTTGAAAATATGTTTGAAATTTGAAATCAATGAGAAAGAGAGATAAAATGGTGAGTTAGCAACAGTTTTTCTACGTTGGCGCCACGTCATTAGTGGTCTATTAGTGGTGTTGAATCAGTGGTCTGAAGCATTTTTGTATGAGTATAAGAGGTGGTGCTGTTTTCTATGAGTCCAAGGACTTGACTCTAGAGCGCTCATGAAATAGGATATAAACACAAGGTCAATCCACGTGTCGGCTTTTTGAATTACCTAAGACGAAGAAAATTTGTGTGTGAGACGTGTCCAGTTAATCGTATAAGATCACTAATTCAAAGACAAGTCTACTATGCCATCTTGATTAACATGGATATGTTTTCACTAAGTAAATGATTCAAATCGAAAGATATCTTCATTTATGCATAAATTTTCCTAATCTATCTAAGTTGTTATTTGGGCAAATTACACAAATAGTCCCTATAGTTTGGGGCTTGTGTCACTTTGGTCCCTAACTTTTCAATTGTGACACATTTGACCCTGAATTTTGAATCTTGTTCCAAATAAGGACAATTGAAGATATCATTAGATTTTTCAAGGATAAAATTGTCAATTTGATAAAATATAAACTAATTTGACAAAAATAAATGTCAAACAAATATTTTTGAATTTTTAAAAATTAGTTCTACCTACTAAAACTAAAATTATGTAAAATTGATAAATCTTTTAGACATTTATTTATTTTTTTTACCAAATTAATTTTTGATGATCATGTAAAATTAATTTTAAAAAATTAATCATGTAATTTTTATTAATTTTACATAATTTTATCATTGGTGGATAAAAATAATTTTTTTTAAATTAAAAATATTTTTTTGACATTTATTTTTGTCAAATTAGTTTATATTTTATCAAATTGACGATTTTACCGTTAAAAAATTTAATAATATTTTCAATTGTCCTTATTTGGAACAAAATTCAAAATTCATGGTCAAATGTGTCACAATTAAAAAGTCAGGGACCAAAGTGACACAAGTCTCAAACTATAGGAATTATTAGTGTAATTAACCCTTGTTATTTTCATATATTTTGAAAATAGTGGGAGAATGTTGGAACATTATATGAATGAATAAAGAAATGTGACTTTCGGATTTAAATCAAAAGGGTAACCTGAGTTTAAACAAAAAAGTATGTTTTTTGAATTTAAACCATGGAGTGTAACCATTAGATTTAAATTAAAAGACATAACTCTTGGATTTAAAAGAGTTTTGAATTTAAAGGATACGATCTTTGGTCTAAGGGATACAAATCCATGCATATATAAAGACAAAATGGGTTCCCATTTATAAAAAATAATAATAATAATAATCCATATGAAATCCATAGAATATCTGTAGAATTTCTCTCTAACATTCATATTGTCATTTTCCTCCATATTTGGTGGATTAGAAAAATCTAAAGGCATTCGGGATCTAATTTTGTTCGTACATAACGCAATCAGACATCAGTCTTTAGACTGGGCTTCTTTGTATCTTGAAGACGGATTCATGAATAACTTGGTGCATATCATATTCGACAAAATTTGTGAGGGCAAATATCATCTTAAATAAAGCGCCATTGTCACGCCCTTTGAAACAATACTAATTATTTTACCTCTTTCCATCTCATTTACTGAATTTACACCAACAAACATTTGTAATAATTGTGTTATGAATGGTTGGGGAGACGAAGAATAATTGTAGTGATGATCCGATCAAGAGGTGGTTGCAAGAGGTGGTTGTAATGTACTGGCGACTGCAATAGTGGTGTAGTGATAATAGCAAAATGATGTAACGATGACAAAGGAAATAGAGATTATGGTGGTTCTTACAACATTAAAATTGTCATCATCCAACCCTTTCAGAAGCCCTTCTTACAACATTAAAATCTCCTAAGAAAATCCAAGACTCAGCATTCACTATGCTATACAGATTCCTATAATTTGTCTTGGCCTATGATTAAAAAGAAAGTACAAAAATTTACCCAACTTGGAAAGGACTCAAGTGTTTTAAGAATAGAAATGGTCAGAATAAAAATATATCATAAATCTAACTTGAAAGAATAATATACCAGTCGGAAAGAACCTAACACAATCCAGTCCATGACTAATTTTTGTACAAAATTAATAGGACTGCTTCCCGGAATTACCAGCTCCCTAATGAAAAGATCACCACAAATCCCCCTCCCACCTCTCTTCTTCTGTTGCGGGAAAACAAAACTGGATTTGAAAGTTCCAATGGAGAAATGAAAAACTGTTCACAATTCTTGAATGAAAGTTGCAAATAATCTATTAACATACAACTCATAAGAAAACAAGAGACCATGATAGAATTCCAACTGCAACAATAGCACTTGCAGAAGCACTGCCATGCATGTAGCGGGCAGGACAGCCAGAGCTAGTGGAATTCAAAGATGGGGCTGTGCTGTTTAGGAAGGTTCCATTCTTGCCATTACTGCATACACACAAAGGCAAGAAATATATCACATTACAACATATGAGAGTTTTAGGGACCAAATGTTTTGATCTCTAAAAGTAAAATTTTTGTAAAAGACATTTAGGTTCCAATTTCTATTGTCATGAGAATAGTCGCTAAAAGGCCATCCTGAAAAGTAAAAAAACAAGACTTTTAGCGACAAAAATTTGAAAATGTCACTAATAAATAGACTTTTAGGGACAAAATAATGGTCACAAAATATGATTTATTTTTTTAGACAAAAAAATTGGTCCCAAAAGGATAATTATTCATCACTAATATCTAATTTTCGTTGCTAAAAATATAATGACGACACTTTTCGCAACAAAAATATTTGGTTCCTAAAAAATAATTTTGTCCCCAAATTTTGATCTCTATAACCTTAATTTTTTGTAGTGTCAGCAGCTAAAAACTTATGCTTAATTTTTTGTACTATATTAGTCCAAAACTGAACTGTTCTGCAAAACAAGGAAATATTACCTTCCGGGAAATACACATGAACCATGAGCTGCATCATTGAAACAGAATAAAGTACAACGTAAGTCACTTGCAATATAAATTTAAAAGAAAATGGAAAAAAGAAGAGAGAAGGGTGTTTGTGCTTGCTATGTCATTCCAATCTTACTTGGATTTGTGGTAGTGATTGTAGCCACCCCATTGAAGTCACATGTTCCTGACGCCTTCCCCATCTGCTGATAGTAAGTGTCAAAAGCATAAGTTGCGTGCGCGGCCACGGTGTCTGGTTCATAGCACGGTTGCCCCTGCAGCAAAGCCGAACAATTGACCTTGCCAGGCCCACAAGCCCAATCTAAAGCAGCTTGCAGCATTTTGGCATCAGCACCGTCCTTAGCAGTACAGTAAGTCTGATTTGCAGTATCATTTGCCAACACCGATCCCGACCCAGTCAAGTGCAAAATGTAAATTGGCACCCCATTTGCATCAAACAATCCCCAGTTCTTCTCAGACAAAGGCCCGGGTTTCATATCCTCGTTATAGAGCTCGTATATGTAAGTACTCACAGAAATTCCAGGGTGTTTGGGAGTACCGGTTTTGTTTAGCACATGCTTTATCAAATTGCTGTTGTAAGTGTTGGCATTGTCTAAATTTGCATCTGGTTCACTAGAATCACCTTTAGATGGCCAGCCCGACTCGGTCACCATAACTGGAATGTTAGTGAAATTAAGGTAAGCCATTGCAAAGTAAGCAGCGTCGACCATAGCATCAAAGACATTGGAGTAATGGAGAAGTGTGTTGGCATCAACAGCTTCTTTGTTTGAAGGAAGGGGTCGGAAAAGTGCATAATCTAATGGAATAACGCCATTGGATTGCATGTAATCATAATACGGGTATATGTTTAGCATGAGAGATGAACCTGATGACTGCAAGAAACTGAGCAAGGGGACCATAACTGGATTCAAAGATGTGTTATGAAGAAAGCTTGCGATGGTGGGAAAGAATCAAGAATTATGGAGGAAGAAAGAGGTGTTGAAACTTTGATTTGCCTATCCAAATTGGACGCGACAAGCGCTGATTGGATGTACTTGAGGGCACTGACTAGGACGTGTGCTGCATTCGGGAGGGTGGTTAGAACCTCAGAACCGACACAAATGGTTGTAATATTGGTAGCTGGATAATGTGCTACGACATTCTGTGAGACCCAGTTAGCGGCGGTGGAATTTGATTGGCCAATGCCGAGGAGCTGTTCGTTGGGAACAGAGATAGCAACTTTAATGTCGGTATTGGCAAGTGCAAGAAGCATGCCGCGGTCAGCGTTGTATAGACGGACATGCCGGATTTGTTGGGCTTTAAGAAGGGCTACTACTTGAGTTGGGTGTGGCATGTCTGCGAGGTCTGTTCCTATATTCACACCGATATATGCATCTGCAAAGAAGGAATAAATCATTAAAAAAATTATGCAAATATCTACAATTTAAATCTTTGAAGTTAATACTCAAAAGGATGCAAATGCAAGCCCCGTTGAGAATAAGTATGTTCAAACAGTCATAATTATTGGCAAAAGGATTGCTTTGATGTTGCTTCACTCAGCGATTATTAGGGAAATTGTCAAAGGTGCCAAGAACATAACTTCAAATCTCCGTGATTAGTGAAAAATTAATAGTCATATACATAACTACTAAATTTTTCAATGAACTATTGTCAAATTTATTATCTTTTTTTCTTTATAAACAAAAAATCTGGGCATAGATAGATTAGTCGGTCAGAGCTAGAAATTAAATAAAAGGTACACCCAATTTAGTCCCAACTCCTAATCACTGGCGGGGTCTGGAAGGGTACAGACCAACCTTTGACCATTATACAAGCTACCATGCACGAACATTTCAAAACCTTCAGGCAGGACAAATCATGATCAGAAGTGATGCATTTAAATGAGGCAACTAAGGACCAACAAATCATTAGGTTCAGCCCATTTCATGATAGTGACAATCCTAATAAAAACTATCTGAATTTAGTGGATCACAAACAATTGAGCATTACTAATAGGCACCACCACGTAATCATGCATGTTAGCCCATTCTAGAGATCCATCACAAAGCCAAATTCAATTCAATTGGTTAGTTTTTGCAATCAAATCTTTAAATATCAAACATGCAATTCTAATAATGAAAAATTTTGGCCTAAGAAATAGATGGTGAAGTCCCATTCCCTGTTGAGCTTTTGCCAATAATAAACATAACAACATAGCAATCTAAAGCGCTTTCCTTCTGTTTCTTGAGGCAGGATAAGAAACTAAGGCTAACAATGCATGCACCATCATTGTTAAACAGTCCATTTAATGAATGAGCATTAGCAACCTATAGATTGAGAAAGAAAATCAAGATGCAGCTATTTCCCAACTGAATAATGTGGCAAAAAATTTAGAATTTTCAGTTACATGAAAATCACGGTTCAGTTTAGCAACCAGCAGATTGAGAAAGAAAATCAAGATTCAGTTATTTCCCAACTGAATAATGTGGCACAAAAATAGAATGAAAATCAAGGTTCATTTTAACTATTTCAAACTGGGGGTCTTTTTGGGGAAAAAAATATATTTAAAATTGGTCTTAAATACAAGAATTTCATTGCCACATCTTTCTTTCTATATCACATGGGGATAAGATTAGAATTTTCAATTAGTGAAATTATACAACTTTTTCTTCTTCTTCTTCTTCATCTTTTGATGTCACAACGTGGGACAGTCTTTCAGTATTTGATTATTTAATACAAGAAAAGTAAAATTTTTCTAAGATATCTAAATCACAACCTCAGATCAGTATTTTCATCATTACACTTCACATAAAAAGATAAAGCTACTAAACTTCAGAAAGATCATAAAACAAAAGGAGATCGATATATATATATATATATAGAGAGAGAGAGAGAGAGAGAAAGAGAGAGATTGTTTTGTGAAAAAAGCCCACTTGTGCATTCTTCTCAAATCTAAACAACTAATAGTTAAATGGATACGAACATGAACACGAACAAGAATAAATAAATACATAAATGCATATATATACATATGTGTGTGTGTGTGTGTGTTTTGAGAAGGGTTTTGTAATGGATATTACTACAGTGAGAGTGAGATATGATACCCTTTCACCAGAACAACAAAATACCACCTTTACCTTAAGAAAATGAAGTAAATCCCAGTATTCCACCACTGTTTAAGCCAACCCCCCAAATGAAACTTACAAAAACATCAGTACAAAGCAACAATGAAGAAGAGAGAGAGAGAGAGAGCTCACCATCATCAGCAAAGACGGTAGAGACTGCTATAAGCAGAAGAAGAAGCAATGCCATAGATTTTCCACTGCAATCACTCTCAGTGACAACAACAACAACAACAACAAAAATAAAGAAAATTAGAGAGAGAGAGAGAGAGAGAGAGGGGTTGAGGGGGGGGGGGGGATGTTAAGGAGAGTAAAGTAATGGATTTGAGAAATGAAAATACAATCAATAAAAACAAGAGGGTAATGGTGTGGAGTATTTAAGATTAAGACAGAGAGAGAGAGGGTGGGGGGATGGGGTCGGTTCATCAATCACGTGGAGGTCTTGTCAGAGGATCGGACGGCTGAGAAACGAGGTAACAGTGAGCAGTTTGGGGGGATTCTTTTGATGCCTAGATGCGAACAACAACATTGGTAGCCGTTACAGCTCTTAAGCCTGTTTGGGTTTTTTCTGCGTGTATTATTATAGGAAATTATAATAATATTTACTACTATCAATTCACTTTTATTAATTTAAAAATTATTTAAATTTTTTATTTTTTAATTCAAATTTATGTTATATATAAATCTCACTCTACACAAATTAATTTCTTTACATAAATTATCTCATCAGAATTTTCTTAATGAATAATATTTTGACTTTTTAAAAAGATAAAAAAATAATTTATAATAATTTTTTTTAATTTTTAAATTAAAATATTTAGTTTCCGCTTTAATGTCCAAACAAGATGTAAGACATGTGTCTTTATGTGCTATATGTGCATTCTGGCAATAATAGGCCGAGGAGAGAGAGAGGCCCCACCAGATGCTAACAAAAGGACACACTCACTGCTCGTCGGAAATTAGCTTGTTTCAACGGTCATGTTTTGTACTTTTTTACGACTTGTATGCTTTTTTACAGTGGGATAAAAACATGGAAAAATAATTATAAATTAATAATTTTTTTATAAATATTAATAATTAAACGGTCGTGCTAGGGAGCTCGAAAATGAACTTTCCGAATCTCCCTAATTTTTTTTTTTGTTTCAGAAGCAGAAAATCAGAAGGAAGAAGGAGAAGAGAAGGAAAGAGGAAGGAGGAGGAGGAGGAGAGGAACTGGAGAGGGCCATAATCACAGGGGAGGAGGAGGGTTTTGGGCATTAGAGGGATTAGGAGGGAAGAATTTCGAGCTGTCAAACATTATTCATAATTAAATTTGTAAATGTTATTGCAGAGGTGGGACTGAGCTGGGCGGCGATCGGGTTGGGCTGGACGATGACGGGGACGACGAGCTGCGACATCCCGACGACGAGCTCTTCCCTGCGACGACGACGAGCTGCGACCTGCCTCTGCCTCTCCCTATCCCTCTCCCTCTCTCTTTCTCTCCTTCTCCCTCTCCCGGTCTCAGAGTTGCATGAAGAAGACGAAGGAAAAAGGAAAAAAAAGAGAAGAAAATGCCCAAAACGACGTCGTTTTGAGCATTAGAGGGATTAGGAGGGAAGAATTTCGAGCTGTCAAACATTATTCATAATTAAATTTGTAAATGTTATTGTAAGTTTGTATTTTTTTTTTTTCCAAACACCGTCGTCGGATAATAATCCCTGAAAACATTAACTCATGCAAAGATTTAAAACCTTATGGTCGTGTTTGTTTATTTTTGTAGTTCATAGGAATGGATTATATGACTGTTTATGAAAAATGAGTGGGAGCACTAATTAGTGCTACCACTAATGATGTGGCCGTGGGTTTCACCAACTGTTCCAATGTTGTTGTGTCTATTTTTTATTTTTTATTTTTTGAAAAAGTGAGTGCCACATCATTAGTGATTGTTTTAGAGTTCCCCTTTTAGTGGTCTCTAGCATTGTTAAATGTTTATTTGAAAAAATAATTGTATGAGATTAGAAATTTTCTGTAGTGAGGCAGGGGATTAGTAATAGTAATAGTGGAGGTGATATTCAAATCTAATCCTTCAAAATTGGAGGTAAAATGATTATTTTACCCCTTATTTTACAAAAACAACAATAATTTTTTTAATATAATTTCATATATTTAATCACGGGTTAAATACATTTTTATCCCCTAAACTATACATGTTTTGTCTATTTGACCCCTTAACTATTGATTGTGTTTCTATAGTCCCTAAACTTTAAAAAAATATGTTTGTCAAGTTTAATTTGTGTCTGTCGTTCAAATCATAGCGTTAGTAGAGGACAAAATAGACATTTTACAAACAAATAAAACTGGAAGGCATGTTTCCGCCAGTCTTTGATATATACCCACATATATATACAAGAACAATCATGTCTAAAAAAAAAAAGAAAAAAAAAAAAGAAATAGGAAGAACAATATACCATGTTAATGTACACCTCCTACACCACTAAAACCTACCACTACCACTACACACCTCCACTACTCCTCACCCACTCCACCAACCACCTCCACTATACCTACTACCACCACCCACTCTACACCTACTACTCCCAAAACCTCTCTATATATAGGACTTGTAATATACAGATAAAAATATCAATATACACAACAATCTTGTAAATCAATATATCAATCAATAATATATATCCATTTATTTTAACATACCAGATGGTTGTGTCTTGGTTTATCACCTTGGTATTGTTGCTGTAAAAGAAGATGTTGATGGTTGACAGGTTGTGAAGGATGCAGTGAGGGTTGTGTGAGTGGAATGAAAATAGTTGTTTCCTGTGTAATATATTTGTTATGTAAGTTGTTGGATATGAAATGAATGGAAGATTTTGTATGGAAAAATTATGTACCCAAATCTTTTATAATGGTTGATTATATTTACCAATAAATTGCTAAGAGAATAACCCAAATTGGGGATTTGAAGATTAACATTGTTTGGACCCAAAATCTTTACACTGTTGTTGTCGTTTTTCAAGCCGGAGCTCTGATCGATGATTGCCAGAATAAAATTGTCGTCGAACTCATTGGGATTTGAGCTTTGCAACAGTTGTTTGAGGTTGAAAGAGCCATCATCGACTTCACTCGCAATCCATCGGAGAAGAGACTGGTTTTGACTCGATTCAGACAACAAGCTCTCCCAATCCTCTAACCTAAGCCCAAATCTTTCATCTCCAGACACCTCGAGTCCTACAGGAATAGGTTGCAGCTCCGACGCCTATTCGTCTTTCTGGCCACCGCATGCGGCGTCTAAATCCGTCGGCCCTCTTTCCGGCGACCAGAGGTTATTGTCGAAAGTCGCCGCCAGACTGACTGTGTTGTCGGTGGAACCAGAGGCGAAGCCCACTCTGCCAAGAGATGAAAATAAGGTTAATGTTGATGTGGAAGGGCTCGGACTCCTTCTTGTGTCCAGCACAGAGATGGGTTCATTGCTTGCAAAACTTCATTATTTCTTCCACCTTGCTTCAGAATCAAAGGGTGTGTTTGATTTGTGTTTGTAAAGTAGTTTTTGAGGTAAAAAGTGTGAAAATTTGTTTGGTTTTTTTTTTTCAGAAATGTAAATTATTTTGGAGAGAGAATTTTAAAAAAAGTAATTGATTTGATGTATATGAGACATAGAGTGATTTTGAAAAATAAGTAATCAAATAAAATTTTGAAATTTTTTTTAAAAAAATTTATTTGATTTGATTACTCTTAAAATTTTATTTGTAGAAAATTTTTTTCAAAATTCTTTCTAAAAAACAAACCAAACAAGGCCAAAACCTCCAAATTCTCCAGCATACCATTTCCTTTCAAGTTGTATTGCATTCCTATCATCTAACAAAACCAAGATCTTAAATAACCAAGCAAAAATTGTGTTTTCTTTTTCCAGATTTGAAATGGGTATTGGGATTTCTATAATAGGTTTTCAAAGATTCAAGCTTGAAACCAAACTCATGGCCATGAATCTGTCAAGAGACCCAAAGAAAAAATCCAGAGAGCTTAAACTGTCATCCCTTTCCTCCAGCCTTTTTCTCTTTTCCTTTTGATTTCTATTCACTGTATCATATCATAAGCCTATGTTTTTCCCTATTCTTCTCTCTAAATACCACTCCATCTGTCCTCTCTCTCTAAACTTGTTGGTTCTTTTCTTTTCCTTCTTGTTTCTTCCTTCTACTCTCTAAGCAGTACTCTTTGTTCGTACTCTTCTCTGTTCTGCCATGGATGTGTGCATTACAAAAATATCCCAATTCGCCTCACATGTATAACGCATGCGGTTGAGAATGAAATGTCCATTTTGACCTTCATAGCAGCCTTTTGTATAACGTAGAATGCGCGTGCAACATTATTCCGTTAATGATTTGAATGGTAGATACAAATTGGACTTGACATACATACTTTTTTAAAGTTTAAGGACTACAGAAACACTATAAATAATTAAGGAATCAAATAGACAAAACGCATATAATTTAGGGAGTAAAAGTGTAATTAACCTTTTAATTACTACCAACTGATACTATCATATTACTATAAAAACAAAAGTAATTTATTTTAAATCTCCAACTTAATATAATTATACTAATAATTCCTTTATTTAATCACACCTTATTAATTATTTTATTTAATTTAATCCGGTAAACAAACGAAATCTATGGGGCCATCTCCAATGGGGCCTCTACCTAGGCTTGGGATAATGAGGTGGATTCTCTTAGGCATTTCGTCAGCCATGTAAGGCCTGTGCGTCTTAATTCAATAATTTATGGGGAACTTACTGATAAGTCCCATGTAACAAGTTCAAAATCCAATTAATCCCAAAACAAAATACTTGCACCAATTAGTCCAACACATTTTTAATTGTTACCAAAAAATCCTTTTTTTTTTTTAATTTATAGACACTGTTCACATCTTACTACCGTCGGACTTCCGTTTAACGGTCGCCGGAGACTCACCGGAATGTCTAGAATATTGCCGGAAAAAAAAAATTAAAAAACATGTTATGAAACTGTAAAATTTTACAGTTCTAAAGAATGTTATAAAACTGCAAAATTTTACAGTTTTAAACCATGATTCATTCCAGCACCAAAAAAAAAATTTGAAACTGCAAAATTTTACAGTTTTCACTGCCTGTAACTAAAACTCGAAAACTGCTTGTTTAGAATTCGAAAATTTTCTCCATTAGAATAGAAAAACAGAAGTGTATAGCAGAGAGAGAAAAAAAAAAGAAATCGAAGGGGAAAGACGGATGTCTAACCAAATCTGTGTAGA